TTTGTTTTTTTTCTTTTAAGTAAGGGCATTTTCGTATTTGCATTAAGCTTTTTTTCGATTTATTTTTTTATTTATTAAGAAAATGACACATGGCGTTCATTTAAAAGGTACCTGTTGTTAGGTAAGTACAAGCCAAAGTACAAGGGTACCTAACTGTAGAAAAGCCCAAGTTACTTTTGTAAAATTGATATAATTCTTTTATTCTAACTTTTGCAGGCATGGAAAATAACGATGTGAAAATTAGGCAACTTCTTCTGTATGAACAACAATATCTTCAATGCGTAGAGTACTTGAAAGAAGAAGATGAATTTTGGACCAAAATAGAATCATTTGTTCATGTTCTGCACTTCATAATTATATCAGAAGAAAAACAACTGGTGATCCGGGCTTTAGAGTTATTGATGCGAATCCTGAATTCATACCTCCTGATGTGTTCCACGATGTTGAAAGTAGTTCTGCACAAGGTGATGGGGAAATGAGGACTCGGGAGATGCCAAACGTTCGTAATGATATAGCTTCAAGTTTGATGGCATACAGACGTCGCTCTTAAAGTATTTGTTTTTTTTCTTTTTTTTTTTATTTTATAATTATAATAGTGAATATTGCGATTGAGCCACATTTATATTTTCCATTAGTATGACTTATCTTTGGCTTTGTTTATATGGCGTGAACTTAATTACTCGATCATGAAATATTTTCATTTTATTATTATTTATATATTTTTTATCATATATTAATCATATTAATAAATATTTTAAATATTGAATATTTTTATTTCTTAAATTATTATAAGTTCAACATAAATTAAAATGATAAAGTATGTTGATGTCCTTATAAGTAATTTTACATGTTAACAGCTAATTAAAAAAGTTAATTTTACCACACTTTTTTACAAACAGCTAACACGATCAGCTGGTCAAAACAGCTAATGCAATCAGCTGGTCAAAACAGTTAATACAAACAGCTAACAGCTGATTACCAAACAAGGCCATAATGTTTTAAGCTGGACTGTGCGTCTGCTCCTTAAAATGCCTTTTGAGTTTGTAACTGCACTCATGGGTTTTCAACGTTAAATTTTATTTTTATCAACTAGCCATGTTTTGGTGATTAAGATCGAAAACATCTAAAGACGATGTGCAAAACCGGTAGAAACACAGAACAACTTGAAAACAGTAGCCGAAGATTCTTTTTCATGTTTTAACTTAACAGAGAAAGAAACAACGGGACACATCATTCATCCTCAGGGGGCTTGCTTCACAGTTTTGAACACACCATTAACAACAAACAAAGAACCTATCTAGTTGAGCATTAATATAACTCTCGTAATAATAATGCAGAGGAGAAACACAGAAGAAAGAAATTAAAACTATGCATTTGAAAGTTGAAACTCCATATTCTAATGCCCTAAAACCTGTTTTTTCTCCTCCCTCCTACAAGTGTAGCATTTCACGCGGAATGAGCAAAATGACACCTCTCCCCAAAAGTGCACAACCCTCTCGAAAACTTCTCACACACCTTCTTAAAACTACGAGGCCCAACTTCTCGGCCCACCGCACGACTGCCGTTAGCAGCAGTTACATTAAGGAGCAGCTCGCGTACCATGGCGCTCGCCTCCTTGATCTGGTCAAATGTGCCCTCGAGCTCAATGTTCCTCTTGCTGGGGTCCGACTCGTGGTCCCTTATCGAAAGCTTGACCCCAGTCTCCCGGCATATCTGTCTCGTGTTGACCCCATTTTTCCCAATAATAGCCCCTGCGAAAGTCGCGTCCACGCTGATCTTGGCATTTGCTGACACGCCAAAGTTACTGTTGGCCATCATTCGCGGGTTGTGGGGCCCGCTGAGCTCAACTGAGGCGTGGGAAAAATGGCAACTTTCGCCATACCGGCACCCACCCGGAGTGTTTATCCGTTTGCAAGGGATAGTTTTTGTTGCTGATGAAGGGTCAACGGAAAAGGCTGAATTTCTCGGGAAGGTATTAAGGGGATTTCCACCACCCGAGTTGGCTAGCTGCGTATGGGCACTGTAACCGGGAAAATAGTGCAGAAAGTGACACGTGTCGCCAAAAGTGCACCCTGAAGTGCTGCAAGGTTGATGCAAACCAAGAAAATTTTAAAAAAAATGCATATCACTTTTTAAACAAAAAACTTACTCAATGATGCACCATACTTTTTATGCATCCATTGCACAAGCAATAAATAGAATGCAGGAATTTTCTAGTACTTAATTTTCGCAAAATTTCTTTACCCCAGACACCTAAGTCTAATGGTCCTGAGAAGATGGTACTCTTAGCATTAAATGATAAGCAAAATATGTTGTTTATTCTACAGACTTATTCTCATGATACACACATATTTCAAGAATGCAAGCTTATTTCTTTATATAGATTAGATTATAACCTGAAAAACTTGGTGCATGGCTTTGATTTGCTTCCTACACCACCACTTGTAAAGGAGTCCAATTCTGTATCAGAAAATTAGTTTCCTTCTTCAGTTGATCTTTCGGTTGACTTTTATATATCCAACTTGATGAATAATCGAATCTTTCACTCTTAGCTATTGACGAAGCTCACGTAATTTCAGATGTTTAATGATCTTACTATCATCTTATATTCCTTCCAAGAACTACGTAATAATCACTCAAAAAAAAAACCCTTTCGAAAGAAGATTGAACAGTAATTGTGTGGGAAATCGAGAAAAACGATGACTTTCACAAGGTTTATCTACAATATATCCATGGTAAACCACAACATACCCTCCCAAATTCATAAGATACATAAAATCATAACTAATGGCAAGGCAGCCAGCAGTAATCTGAACAACTCGAATCAGATCCAGAGTAAGGGGGGAATACTAGAAATAATCAACGTAACACGACAAGAGTGCTTCCAGTTTAAAGTAAGCTCGAGCTAATGGCGAAACAACCAAAAATAAATGAATTACAGCTTTAAAAGAACGAACACGATCGAGACACTAACCTTCTTTAGATCTTTTAAAGCCTCCGTTCCCAGAAAAAACCGCGTCCACTCGGCCCCTTTTGCGCGCGAAAGACATAGCGATGCAGGGCTGAAGAAAATCAAGAAACGGAAAATCAAGTAATTTTTATCTTTGTTGGGAAAATTTGGAGTTGCGGGACATGAAAATACAGGAACAAGGATACCTAGGTTTTGAAATTTGGGGGTGAAGATATGAGAGAGATGACATCGGATATTGAGGGCGGCTTGATACAAATATATGGTGAATTATTATTTATTTTTTTATTTCCTTTTTCAACAACAATTAATCTTTTAATATATAATAAGAATTAACATAATTCACTTGTAGAAATATATTCCTGTCAATTTCATTAATTATTGCCTAAAATATAGTAAATTAACAAAATCTCTATTTATTAGCATATCTGTTTTTTTCTGATTTTTCTTTTTTAGGAATACAATCAAAAATATAGAATCAAAATCCAAATAAATCTCCTCTTTTTGTGACTGGATATAAAACTCCTCTTTTGAAGGCCGAATATCCTGCTTTTATTAAGGAGTCTGCAAAAAAAAAAAGATTAAGCTAAACTGGTTTGCAGATTCGTTGATTACATTTCAAAATGAGATTAACCTTTTATTTTTTGTTAAATTTTTTAAATGATTTTCGAGAACTAGATTGAAGTTTTAATTAATTGCTTTTGGAAAAAAAAAATCTGATATCTGAGCCTTTTTTATGTCATAGCGATTTTTGTTGTCAAAATTTAATTACATGGTGTGCTATTCATATTTATCATTTGGAAAACTGCTTGCTATTCATATTATGATTTGAAAAACTAAATCTATTGTATAATGAAACAAAATAATTTCAAAAATCACATTTCCGATCAATGTTAAAAATGAAACTGTTAAAATAAAATAGAGGGATGCGCTCCGGTGAGAATGATGTTCAATGAAAGAAATAAGAATACATAATATCTATTAGATGAGATGATCCAAAGGCCAAAAATAAACCAAGAATAAACATTAAAAAAGGACATAATTGTCAATCTACTACCAGACCCATACACGTGCCCCATACCCTCTCCCTCCCATTCTATTCTCTCTCACACACAGGACCATTCCATCTCACACACATCTCCTTGTTCACTTATTTCTCCCCCAATTCTCTCTCAGGCCTCAGCCGGCCACTACCCGCCACCACTGCTCCGTCGCCGCCGACGAAATAACACTCCGACAGCCTTGATGTTTCCTTCGATCAAGTGGAGGCCATCAAGGAAGATATCCGCGGCGAAGACCTTCCACCGCCTCTTCTCCTCCCAACACTCAACACCTCCGCCGCTGTTAGGGACCTTTGGTGGGGAATCGACGCCGCATAACCGC